ACAGATCGATGAAGAAAATAGACGTTAGGGCTTGTTTGGACACTAATTGGGTCCAACTATACTGAACCTGCTCGACGATTGTCGCCAACGTGGGATGGACGATGATTCACAGAAGATTGTGAGTGGTGGGATGACAAGAACAGTAACCAAAATTAAAAACCTTAAAAATAGCAGTTGCCATTGATAAACATATGGCGGCCTAGGAGAGAATCACGGATTGGGTGAAGTGCAATTCAGGGTTTTTTTGCTCATTGAGATATAGTTTGGGGGGGGTGGTTGTACTTTATCCTAAAATTAAATCTAATTATAAATAATATATTTAAAGAAAATAATTTCTATAAAATTCTATCACAAATTATCTATTTTATTTTCAATAAAACTCTATCACATAAGACAAAAATATATTTAAAGAGTTTCTATAAAACTCCAACACAAATTACCTATTTATCTATCTATTGTGAGTTTTTTAATAAAAAGAAATCTAATTAGATAAGTATTATTAAAGTAAAAAATTATTTATTAATTGATATAAAAAGAGGTTCAAAAAAATTACTATAAAACTCTAACACAAATTACCTATTTATCTATTTATTATGAGTTTTTTTTAATAAAAGTAAATCTAATTAGAGAATAATTATTAAAATAAAAAATATTTATTATTTGATATAAAAAAAATTTTAAAAGAGTTTATATTAAACTCTAACACAAATGACTTATTTATTTATTTATTTATTATAAGTTTTTTAATAAAAGAAAATATAATTAGGCAAGAATTATTAATATAAAAATATTTTTGAATTGATATAAAAAATAAAATAATTTTCCTAAAACTCTATCACAAATTACCTTTTATTATTATTTTTTTAATGAAAGCTAATCTATTTTGACAAAATTATTAAAATATAAAAATATTTATTAATTCATATAAAAAGTGTTTTAAAAATATTTTTTATAAAACTCTAAATAAAAATATTTTTTATAAAACTCTAAATAAAAATATTTTCTTATAAAACTCTAAAAATAAAAATATTTTTTATAAAACTCTAACACGCATTACCAATTTATCGATTTATTATGAGTTTTTTTAATAAAAAATATAATTAAACAATAATATATTTAAAGGAAATAAAAATTTTCTATAAAATCTATCACAAATTATCTAACTCTAAAATTTACCTAATAAAATTCAAATTAATCTATTTATCTATTTATTATTATGAATTTTTTAATAAAAATAAAATCTAATTAGACAATAATTATTTATATAAAAAATATTTATTAATTGATATATAAAATAAATTAATTTTTCTAAAATTCTACCACAAATTAGCTTTTATTATGATTTTCTTAATAAAATTAAATTAAATTAAACACGGATATATTTAAAGAATAAAACAATTTCTATAAAACTCTATCACAAATTCTCTATTTTTTTTTAAAACTCTACCACAAATTAGCTTTTATTATGAGTTTTTCATAAAATAAAATCTAATTAGACAAATATTATGAATATAAAAAATTATTTATTAATTAATATAAAAAGAGGTTTTCAAAGAGTTTTTATAAAACTCTAACACAAATTACTAATTTATCTATTTATTATGAGTTTTTTAATAAAAAGAAACCTAATTAGACAGAATTATTAAAATAAAAAATATATATTAATTCATATTAAATGAGTTTTTAAAAGAGTTTATATTAAACTCTAACACAAATTATCTATTTATTTATTTATTATAAAATATTTATTAATTGATATAAAGAGAGAAATTCAGAAGGGCAAAAACCTAGAATTACATAAACTCCGTCAAACAGTTTCAATATTTATTTATTTATATATAAAATAAAGAATATAGAAGATCTGCCAAATAGTTTCAATATTTATTTATTTATTTATATAAACAAATTTTATTAAACATGCAAAGAGTTTAAGTATTTCAGTATTTATTTATTTATATAAAAAATATTTATTAAATGATATAAAAAGAGCTTTTTTTTTTTTTTTTAAAAAAAAAAAACTCTCTAAAACTCTAAAATCTACCAAATAAAATTAAAATTAACCTATTTATCTATTTTTTATTATGAATTTTTTAATAAAAGAAAATCAAAAGTTTCAGTATTTATTTATTTATATAAAAAATATTTATTAAATGTGCAAAGAGTTTCAGTATTTATTTATTTATATAAAAAATTATTTATTAAATGATATGAAAAGAGTTTTCATAAAATAAAAAAATAAAAAATAAAAAATAAAAAAACACTCTACAAAACTCTAAAATCTACCTAAGAAAATTCAAATTAATCTATTTATTATTATGATTTTTTTAATAAAAGAAAATCTAACTTTCGAGTAAAATACAAAAGGTCTGCCAAAGTGTTTATTATTAAAAAATTCATAATAATAAAAGAAAATCTAAAGTGTTTCAGTATTTATTTATTTTTATAAAAAAATATTTATTAACTGATATAAAAAAGAGTTTTTATCAATACTATTATTAAATGTGCAAAGAGTTTCAGTATTTAAGTTTCTATTTATATAAAAAAAAATATTTATTAATAGATATGGAAAGAGTTTTTATAAAATAAAAAAAAAAATTCTATCAAACTTTAAAATTTATCTAATAAAATTTAAATTAACCTATTTATCTATTTATTATTATGAGTTTTTTAATAATAGAAAATCTAATTAAACAATAATTATTAATATAAAAAATATTTATTAATTGATATATAAAATAAAATAATTTTTCTAAAACTCTACCACAAATTAACTTTTATTATGAGTTTCTTAATAAAATTAAATCTAATTAGACAATGATATATTTAATGAAAATAAAATAATTTATAAAAAACTTTATCACAAATTACATATTTTATTTCAATAAAACTCTATCACACTAGACAAAGATATAATATTTAAAGAGTTTCTATAAAATTCTAACACAAATTACCTATTTATATATTTATTAAGAGTTTTTAATAAAAGGAAATCTAATTAGACAAGTATTATTAATATAAAAGATTATTTATTAATTGATCTAAAAAGAGGTTTTAAAAGAGTTTCTATTAAACTCTAACACAAATTGCACATTTACCTATTTATTATGAGTTTTTTAATAAAAAGAAATCTAATTAGACAAGAATTATTAATATAAAAATATTTATTAATTGACATAAAAACAGTTTTTAAAAGAGTTTCTATTAAACTTTAACACAAATTACCTATTTATTTATTTATTATAAGTTTTTTAATAAAAGAAAATCTAATTAGACTAGAAAAATTCTACCAAAAATTACATATTTATCTATTTATGTTGAGTTTTTTTAATAAAAGGAAATCTAATTAGGCAACTATTGTTAATATAAAAAATTATTTGTTAATTGATATAAAAAGAAGTTTTAAAAGAATTTTTATAAAACTTTAACACAAATTACCTATTTATTTATTTATTGAAATATAATTAGACAAGAATTATTAATATAAAAAATATTTATTAATTGACATAAAAAGAGTTTTTAAAAGAGTTTCTATAAAATTCAGAGTTTTTAAAAGAGTTTCTATAAAATTATAACACATATTACCTATTTATCTATTTATTATGAGTTTTTTTTAATAAAAGAAAATATAATTAAAAAAAATAAAATAATTTTTATCAAATCTACCACAAATTCACTGTTTTATTTTTTATATATTTCTATCACATTATCTACAAAAATATTCAACACGTGCATTCCTTTTCCAAGTATATATATATTGTGTTGGATGTTAAACGTCGTTGGGTGTCGCGTTAGTAAAGATGGAGTAAGATTAAGTTAGGTTTTGATAGGGGAAAGTGACAGCTTTGGCATTTAGGACCCAGAAGTGCCACTTGGTGGAGGGGATACGTATCATACATCCCAATAAAAATAAGATGGTTTCTCTACCGACTAGCAGTGCATTTGCCGCTGAAGCAATGTAAAGTATATGTTTAATTGGGCGTAATTAAATACTAATAATATAGTGTAGTAATTAACAACTCAAAATTGCACATAATTATTTTCCTAAAACAAACCTGAGGAATGCCGTCTCTCACCTTGATTGGATTGAGATAGTCTCCTCACGACCTCTGGATCCAATAGTTCGTCTACACGAAAACACAATACTAATAAAAAAGCAATCATTGTCCTGTTTTGTGCAATGAAAGTTTTGGTTACGAAGAAAAAAATGAATTACTGAAAAATTGAATGGATTTGATATTTTCATTTTCCTAGGGCTCGTCAATGTCAAAAGGTAGAATGATTTTTTCAAAGTTCAAAGGAGAAGAACACACACACACACGGTAAAACTATTTCAATCGCACGGCTTTCCGTTTTCTGTCGAATCATCTATACTAATGACAAAAAAAGTAAACATCACGTAAATTCACACCAAATTTCGTTTTGGTTGCCATCTATTTTGGATGGTCAAATTCAATTTCATTCACTAATAAAACCGTATCATTGAGTTTGAAAAGGAAATGACCTGGCAACCCACCTCACCTCACCTCATTCACCCTGGACCACTAGCGTGGCCTCCAGTTGGTTGCTATGTGGGTTTGTCCACTCACTCAATGGCACAGCACATCATGTGCTTGTGTTCCTCATGTGCTATGTCGACGTATGAGAAACAAAATCATTATTACTAGTATTTTACATTTTCCCCATATTTTGTGATGTCTTGTCCCATTCACATTTGCAAAAACAAGATCCTTCACAATAATTTCAGTTTTGCAAATTTCTATATTACAAATATTTCAATCAAATTTGTCTTTTTAGTTATGCATGTATAGCGCTAATTTTCTTTAGTGCGTTACCAAATAAAAAGATCAAATGGAAACCTAAATACACTTTTCAGTGTCGGGTCAAAACTGGGGTGAAGACCAAACTTGTAAAAAATTTGATAAACCAAAGCTTATAAAACCCAGTACTAGCTCAGTTCTGTTCACTTGTAGTCCAAGTATTTGTAGACTGCGAACACAGAAAAATCAAAACAAACCAAATACTATTCAATAAAACTATGTCGATTAATCAATCAACTACTGGTTCACCTGATTTGAGCATTACATAGCATTTTTGTTCTCAGACACAAATGCTAGTCAATGAAGATTATGTCAATTAATGGTTCAACTACTGGTTCACGTGCTTTGTGCATTACATAAACAAATTAGAAGTACTCCAAATTTGCAGGAGACTTGGTTTTTCCAAAGAATGCAACCAGAAACAAAGGTAGGAATTTTTCTTGGCAAAGTCACTGAGGCTACACACTGCATAAGATCAGATTTTTGCTACAGCCATGTGATAGCTGAGGACCCTACGAAACAGTGTCATCAAACTCGGTACGTCATCATCTTCCATTCATTTTGCAAGTCATGGAAGGTCCCCAAATTGGATTTATGTTCTTCGATATCCTTTCTTGAATATATAAATCATTAATAAAGATATTTCCAACTGAATATATATATATATATATATAGAGAGAGAGAGAGAGAGAGAGAGAGAGAGTTTTCTGACAGTCCTTAGTCTCCATTTTCTGGAAAATGGAGTGTTCATTAGTACCCAGGTTTTATCTCTTAAAATATTCCAAATCTTCAAGACAATCATGTAATTAAAATTAGTATTCTTTACAAATTTAAGGCAAAGTATATAGACGGAGACTCACAGCACTCGCAACAAAAACAGACAGAATAGTTCCTTGGCCACTCATGGTGACAAAATAAAAAACCAAACTGTTATTTCTGACCTGGGGCAACAGAACCTAGAATGTTGGTTATCTTCTTCTGTAGCTCCAGCTTGTTGGCCCCCACGAGTTTGTCAATTTCCTGACCATCTCTAAGGAAGAAGAAGGTCGGAGTGGCTTTGATATCCCATGATGTACTAAATTCCTGCACCAGAATAACACTAATTGTCAACAAATTCAGCAGATTCTAGAATAAATTTGCCGAAACAGTAAAGAATAAATCAGACAATCACTTTACACTGTCTGTGGGTTTGAATATCAAATTTTGTTATTCTTTTTAGTCTTTTCATTTACAAGCAGCCACATAACAAAAGATGAGGCATTTGGCGGGCTTCAAATGTCAGAAATGCCACTTTGTGTCACTTTACAAGTTCCCGATGTAATTGCATTACTTACAGTTAGTTCATCAACATCGACTGTTAGAAACATTAACGAAGGGTGTTTCTGAGATAGCTCGCAATAGAATGGTGCAACCATTCGACAAGGACCACACCATGATGCGCTGAAATTTGCAATCACCTGTTGAAAAATCAGCTCTAGTTGGACCATAAAAAGGAAACTTCCCAAATAAATCAAATTGAAATTCAATGCAAAATCACCAATATTAAGGAAATTTGTATATCATATAGTATTAGATGTCAAGGCCAATGTTTGTCCACTAATGCTTGTACGTGAGAGAGAAGAAGTGGGCAATGCTTGTAGACATTCATTAATGCTTGCTGTGAGCTGAAAGCAAATATTGTAGTTTCAAAAGGTATTTGGCATAATCTGCTACATTGCAGGTCACTCACCTCATCATATTGGTTATAACATGAAATCATCCAGAATATATATTCTTGGCAGTCCATTAAGAAAATTTTTTATTTTTCTTTTTGCTTGGTAAATGCTAGCAGGTAACTTCTCAAAACTAAGTAACCTGGTCATCGGATGTCAATATTCTTCATTCAATATAGTCCTAAAACACACATCATCGGTTATTACTGAAGGTAAGCAATCCAGTTCAAAGCAACATTGACGGGGATGATTTTTAATGCGGAGTTGTCTGATGTAATCTCTTTTATGGTAACTCTATCAAAAAGGAATAAATCAACTCACATAACAAAAATTGGATTAGGAAACCATAATAGGGCTTCCAATGGCAGTTAATATGGTTCGTTAACCCTCCTACAATACTTACAATCTTGCCATCCCTCCTTGCTTCTGACAGCTTTTCATCCCAACTTTCTTTGGTTGTGATGAGGTGAATATTTCCACCAGCAAACTTGAGATTATGATCAGAATCATCCCCATCATTCAGAGGCTGCAAGTAGGATGCAGATTGTCACGTCTTTGTCATTGATATAGTTGACTAAACTGACATTTTTGTGGAGGAAGATTTTTCAAATTTATTGTATTGCTAGCCAATTAACAAGGAAAATCAAAGAAGCTATAACATAAACATAACTAACACTTCTATTTGGACCTTTATGGAAAATGAGTCCTTTTTCCCGAAACATTTGGAGGCAAAAAACACATTCTTAAACATAGTCATCGCAGAAAGCAAACACGACAAGTGAAAGTAAAATATAGTCATTCCATGAAATCCTATGGTGTTCATATTCTGATAATGTGACACAATGAACTTACCTTTCAAATTCCAAGTAAAAACATAGGCCAATTCTATTTCCTTATGACAATCAAATACCTTGCTATATATTTTTAATTATTAAAGAAAAATAATGAAAGAAAAATTAAGATCTGTACTCTCACATGCAAAAGTTTATTTCATTGCTTAAAACTGAGTATCGACCAAATTACAAATCAACAGGGGTGAATACTGCATGGGAACAAAGATATATGCTATGCTCCAGCTCAATATCAAACAATTATTACAGACAAGTCGAAAATTGTTTTTTCTAAAAAATGGATTATGTTTACCTTTTCATTAAAAAATTGGGATATTTTTATTGTTACAGCTATTTCTTTTTTTTTTCCTGAATGGAATATTTTTATAAAAATATTCAAAATAGTACACTTACATTAGGAGACAAATCTCCAAGGCCTAAAAAAGGAATTAACATTCCAATTTCAGCAAACAACATATCTCAAAAACACTAATAGGATCCATGTATCCGACTCCAAGACGTGGGACAAGGCTATATTGATATGATTCGAGTATTATGCTCAATATAAAAGAGCAGTCCTACTGGTTTTGTATGATCATTTTCCATTAGGCTTGATCACTGTTTTAGTTCTGCATGTAACCATTGGGAAGATAATGATGTGTACAAGAATTTATCTTTTAGAAGATAATATTATGTTACGAAGAATTTAATAATAATAAAATAAGTTCGAAATTTTACAACCACAAATGCTAACTTTGCTAAGAATGGCAATGATAGGTGATTAATAGAACATAGAATAAAAAAGAAGAGAAAATAAAATTAAAAAGAGCACTTATATATAGATATGGCAGAAGGAGCAAATGTTGGGAAAAGGGAAAGCATCTAGTACTTGAGATGTTGAGAAATTCTGAGAATTGCCTCTACTTGATGTTGTAAATCACGAGAGACAGAGACAGAGAGAGAGAGAACTTGTATATATATTTTTCACACACTCAACCTAATAAGCCTATGTAGGCTTCTATAAAGGATACAAGTCAACTTAATAACACAAGGGCCCTACCAACTATATGTAATTACATAATGGACCAATATATATATATATATATATATATATATATATATAACATTCTAACACTCCCCCTCAAGTTGGAGAATATATATCAAATAATCCCACCAATGCTTTGGTAAACATATCAGCTAATTGATCTTCAGACTTCACAAATGGAGTAGAGATGCTCCCACGTAATATTTTTTTTCGAATGAAGTGACAATCAACTTCAATATGTTTGGTCCTCTCATGAAACACAGGATTTGAGGCAATGTGAACTGCTGCTTGATTATCACAGAATAATGGAGTAGGAGCTTCAACTGTCAACCCAAGTTCTTTTAGAAAATGTTGTATTCAGGTCAACTCACTAGTAGTATAGGCCATTGCCCTATACTTAGCTTCAGCACTAGATCGAGCTACCACCGTTTGCTTTTTTACTTCGCCATGTAACAAGATTTCCTCCTACAAATGTGCAGTGGCTTGTAGTAGATCTCCTATCTGAAGGAGAACCAGCCTAGTTGGCATCTGTAAAACCTTCCACCCTGAGATGACCATTTAATTTATATAGTAACCCAAAACCTGGAGCTTGCTTGAGATATCGAATAATCCGAAGAACAGCAATCTAATGTGGCATTCTAGGGGCTCCCATGAACTGACTTACAACACTAACTGCATTTGAAAAATCAGGTCGAGTGATAGTGAGATAAATTAATTTCCCAACAAGGCGACGAAATCTGCCCGAGTCATTAAATAGATCACCCTCATCAGACACAAATTTTGTATTTGAATCCATAGGAGCATTAACCGAGCGACCACTCAACATACTTGTTTCTTCTAATAAGTCTAACATATATTTTCGTTGGGATAAACTTATACCCTTATTGGATCTAGCAATTTCAACACCCAAGAAATACCTAAGTTTACCCAAGTCTTTAGTGTGGAATCGATATTACAGAAACAACTTCAACTTAGCAATGCCTTCAGAATCATCACATGTGATCACAATATCATCTACATACACCACAAGAAATATGAAGCCAGCTTTAGTGCGCTGGTGAAATACCAAATGGTCGGTCTGACATCTGTTAAAACCAAATTTTAATGCCACCTCAGAGAATTTTCCAAACCAAGCCCGTGGAGATTGTTTCAATCCATACAGAGCCTTTTTAAGGCGACAAACAGTGTGAAAATACTCCCCCTAAGCAACAAACCCAGGTGGTTGCTCCATATAAACCTCTTCTGTTAAGTCACCATGCAAAAAGGCATTTTAACGTCTAACTGAAACAGAGGCCAATGTCTATTAGTAGCAAGAGAAATCAAAACACGAATAGAAGAAATCTTAGCAACAGGGGCAAACGTCTCATCATAGTCAATACTATAAGTCTGGGTATAACCTTTGGCAACAAGACGGGCTTTTAAACGCTCAACGGACCCATCTGGAAGATACTTCACAGTGTATACCCAGCGACAACCAACCAGTTTGACACCTGGACGTAATGGAACAAGATTCCACGTGCCATTCTGATGCAAAGCATCCATTTCATCTTGCATTGCTTTCCTCCAGCCCGAATCAGACAAAGCATCCTGCACAGTCTTAGGAACAAATGTAATAGACAACTGAGAGGAAAGACATGAGAAGGATGGCGATAAGGAATTATAAGACATAATGAGCAATGGGATGATTAGTGACACACGAGCGAGTACCTTTACGAAGTGCAATAGGCAAGGAATCAAACACAGTGGACTGTGTTGGATCCAAAGACTCTGAAGACGATGGAGGAAGCACGACAGCAGATGGCTTTAGTCTTCGAGTGTACACTTGTAACGGGGCAGGCAAAGAAGATCTAGGTTGAAGAGAAAGTGAGGAAAGAGGAACCGCAGGAAGAGGCGACTCAGGAGTAATATCAAGAATTGAATCACTATATGAAAAATATGGGATGGACTCACAAAAGGTCACATCCGCGCTAATAAAGTACCGTTGAGAAACAGGACTATAGCAGCGATAACCTTTATGAGAACGCAAGTATCCAAGAAATACACACTTTGTGGCACGTGGGTTAAGTCTATCAAAACCAGGACTAAGATTGTGGACATAACATACACATCCAAAAACTCTAGGAGTAAAAGAAAACAAAGGAGAATCAGGAAATAAAATAGAATGTGGAGATTTGCCATCTAATACAGATGACAGCATATGGTTAATAAGATGACAGGCAGTAAGAATAGCATCACCCCAAAACCATTTAGGCATGCACATATGAAACAAAAGAGCACGGGTTACTTCTAAGAGGTGTCGATTCTTACGTTCTGCAACTCCATTTTGTTGAGGAGTATAAACACATGAATTTTGATGAATACTTCCTTTATCACTATGATATGTATCAAAGGGGGTTGAAGAATATTCCTTAGCATTATCAGAATGTAGAATACGAATTGGGCATCCAAACTGAGTTTTGATTTCTTTTCGAAATTTTTGAAAAATTAAAAATAACTCAGAACGATCTTTCTTCAGAAACAACCAAGTCATGCGAGAATAATCATCCACAAATTTCACAAAATAATGAAATTTATTGATTGAAGAATGCTTTATTGGACCCCATACATCTGAATGAACCAAATAAAAGGACTAGAGACATGATTATTAACCTTAGACTTAAAAGACACACGATGGTGCTTACTAAGTTGACAAACTTCACATGACAAGAATTTCAAATGACTAAGACTAGGAACTTGACGCTGCAAAACTTGAAGTGACGGGTGACCAAGACGACAGTGCCACTGGAATAGAGACAGAGAAGACTGAAGAGCCACAGGATAAGGTGCCAAATCAAACTAATATAAGCCACCAGCTTCATACCCCGTACCAATCTTCTTCTTCATCTTGAGATCCTGAAACTAACAAAAAGTAGGATAAAATGTAACAGAGCACTGAAGAGATTTAGTAAGCTTACTGATAGACATTAAATTAAAGGGAAACTGAGGAACATATAAAACAGACGAGAGAGACAAGGAATCACTAAATTGAGTTATCCCCAAACCTGAAACCTTAGCGGATGAACCATTAGCAAGGGTAACTCTTTGAGAAGGAGGTATAGAATTAAAATCAGATAGAAGAGAAGAACATCCAGTCATATGATCGGATGCTCCAGTGTCTATGATATAATGACTACGAGTGGAAGACAATAGACGTGTGTGCAGTACCTGACTGGGCAAAGGTAGCCATGGAAGATGAATTAGATGCTTGCTTATAAGACAAAAACTGAGTATACTTGTCACTTGGAATAGGGACCGTATCTGATTCAGCTACGTTGTGAGATCCAGAAGAAAAATCATTCGGAGAGGAGGAAACTTGATTTGCATAACTAGATGATTTGCCATGAAGGTCCCAACAAAAATTCACAGTATGATTAGGAAGGCCACAATGAGTACATTTTCGTGATTCCCTGCCACGGCCACGTCCTCCCCGTGAATCACGACCGCCACGTGTGGAGCGTCCCCCATGACCTCCACGGTAAGCAATATTTTCACCCTTTGAAACTATCAATGTTGAATGCTCACCACTCTGCCCAGTATTCAAAGTTGAGGTATCACTTGCAAGTGTAGCGCGTTGAAGTCGAGAAAACACATCAACAAGAGATGGAAGTGTGG